CTCTTAGTACGATTAACGACACTGAAGAAGTGCATTCAGACTGGCGACTATCAACTGCCGTACCCATCTTCAAGTGGGGTCAATGTACTTTGTGCGAAAATCATCGAGGCATTAGCCTTATTTACATGGCCTCAAAACTTCGCACGGGTATCGTTCTTCGACGACTTACTAGTCGCCGTGTGGACCGAATCCCTGAAAGTCAGGCTGGATTCCGCCCTGGTCGTGGTGACATCGACCACATGTTTATTCCGCCAAGTTTTAGAGCAGCGACACATACAGACGACCGACAATGGTGGTTTCCCTCGACTTGAAATCCGCCTTCGACTCTATTGATGGAGACAGCTTGTGGCACTGTCTATCCATGAACAGCGTGTCTGCTAAACGAAGTCTCTCTACCGTGACTCTCGATTCCGTGTAAGGGTCTACCGTAAACTGTCTCCTGAGTTCTCCACGACAAATGGTGTTCATCAAGGGTGTCCTATATCTCCTTTCCTCTTGAACTTTGTTATCCAAATGATCATGTGTGGCTGTGTCTTTTCAGACTAGCGGGGTTGAAGTTCTGCCAGACGACCGACTGACAAACCAGGAGTATGCGGACGACATCGTTCTCCTTGGATCTGATGCATTGACTATGCAAACACTACTGCACCGACTTGCGCGTAGCTCTGCACGCTTCGGCATGTACTTTGCACCTTCAAAGTGCAGGTTACTGCTGTAGGATTAGACAGACAAACCTTCGGTTCTAGCTATTTCCGGACAGCCACTGGAATTGGTGGATGCGTTCACTTACCTTGGTAGCTGTGTAACCCCTGGTGGTCACATCACTGAGGAAGTTACTTCGCGTATCAGCAAGTTCCGTGTGGCTTTCCAGAGGCTCAATCATCTGTGGAGACAGCGGGATATCAGCTTGTCAATAAAAGTTAGAGTGTATAACACTGCGATAAGGCCTGTGTTACTCTATGAATCAGAGACCTGGCCAGTTCTCAGTGAAGACATTAACTGTTTAATCATGTTTGACCACCGATGCTTGCGGAGTATTGCTCACGTCTGCTGAGAACACCAGATAAGAAATGCTGAGGTTCGCCAGTTGGTTTTTGGCAACAACCATTCTGGTTTCTCGCTCGAGTGTTTGCTTACTCTGAATCACTTATGTTGACCAGGCCACGTCGTACGTATGCCTGTTGACCGACTTCCTGGGCGTGCATTGTACGCCGTGGCTGCATCAAGTTGGGTGAAACCGCGAGGTGGCCAGCCCATGACGTCGCATAGTGGCATGAAAAAATTGTTTGAGTGATTTGGTCAGGCGGGTGCGTGCCACCTTCATAGATGGGGACCTCGGGATGATCGACACCAATGGCTGCAGATCGTGTCAGACATGGCGCATTCATTGGCGTTCTTGCATTCAGTCTCTTTCATCTGGCTGTTATTTTCGTTCCAATCTGCTTAGTCTAACACATTTCCTTCTTGCTTTCCTTTTCTCTACATTCCATTTGCACCCAACCTCCCTATCCTACCGTTATTATTTATTGCTATTCTTGCATGTGCGTTATGGCAACTACATTCACCGCACTTCGATGTTCGGATTATGGTTGTTCAGCTGAACTGAACTGACCCGGTGGTTCCATTTTTACTTCATAGTTTGCACCTGGGTACCATGATGTCCATTTCCATCTCTAGTCTAGAGTGACGCGTTTCCTCCAAAAACCAAATCGTTTGCCCTCTCTCCCTGGTGGTGATGATAATGCCCAGTTCGACTCATGTAGTTAACTGTGAGCCAAACACTGTAATGCACTAGCTCTAGCTACCGTCTCGTAACGACGCTACGTGACCCCATCTCTAGTCACGAATGGGCTGCATATACTGCGAGACCGCCCGCCCCCACGCGGATTCGTACCGGTGACTTCTTGGTTACAAGTGCTTCGCAGTGCCTTCGAATGGTATATCCCATGGATTCTTGGGTAGAATGTAATTAGAGTACTTTTCATACTCTTGTGGACCCAATTTCCTCAAAAGAAGACGCATCTGAGCTGCATCACCTAGCTGACGCCCATTGCTTTTTAACAAGTCTTCATAACGGGAAACCATGCTTCGAAAATGAGGTCATCGTCCGATTAGTAATGGGCTTCTACCATACTAGGTCTGCGGTGGAAACCTTAAAGTCTGTAGATGCGGACTGTGACAACATCCGTGTTGTCAGTTTCAATTAAGCTTTTATGTGATGCATCGAACTGTGCTTGCTGTCTGGACATCATTTCTTGAAGAAATTCCAAGGCGACCATCATGATTTGTAAACTGCAATTCCGTCGCTAGTCTATGATATCGTCTGGCTACTAACGCAACCCACTCCGAACGGGTAGCAAGAACACACCACACTGGGACGAGCTGCCTTGGAAAAACTGACATACATGAGCAAACAGAATGCACAATGACCAATGGATCAGTCAACCAACCACGCGAAAAATACAGTCACGATTGGTAAATGGTGTAACTGTGAACGACTAACATACGTGAATCCGTCTAACACAATCGCATGCCAAGACATAGCCACGAATGTCAAACCGTATACGAGTCCGCCTAACATTCATCCTCTCGGCCACCGGCTGATTAGTTACTATGAACCACGCCACAATACGGAAAAATATAGTAAACAACCATTTGCAAAGACCTAAAAACAAGCGTGTTGATCTGAATTCAAACGAGAAAATAATCATGGGTTGATCGCTCAATGAAAAGCCTATTCGTTGGCATCAAGAAATATGAGGCCATTGGCTTTGCGATGGTGCGGTATCAGGACGATTCTAACTCCGTGGGTCCCACAAAAGAAGACGGTGTGCACTGACCGATCCAAGTCTTTTTTCATGCATTTTACCGGGGTCATAGGCTGACTATTCAGTCTCTACACTCTCAACAAAGCACAGCGCTCCACCCAAGTTGGACGGTCCCAGCTCAGCACCCAACTCATCGATTGTCAGATACCAAGACGAACTGTACTGCACGTGCACTGGTGGTGAAAGATGACTTGAGCCTACAACCTTACCTTTGATACATTCAGTAGCGCCGATCGCACTGTATGCAAATCATTACCTGAATTTCACAGTGGAAATGAATTAGCAGTGCGGTTGATCTTCATTCGGTATCCTGTACTACACCCTCCGACACCTCACACGAGTGCCTGTTACTCACCCTCAGTGACTTGTCTATGCGGAACGCTTACGCGATGCGTTACCGGCCATGAGACACTGTTACTGGGTCGCGGATTGCGTCATCCCCTTGGTGATACCGTGGTAGGGTGATAATTACATCACTCTATACCATTTCCCGGCCAAGTTATCCTCTTGGGCAACAGAAACAATGTGAGGGGGCATTCAACATGAGTCTACTCAATTAATTTGTTCCGTGGGTACGCCAGTCACTTGTGCAGGGGTGTAGGTGTGCGTGTATAGCCCGTTGCCTTCAGCCAATTGGACCTCAGACGCACTAGGTCATAGGGATGCAGGTGGGACGCTTCAGCTCCTACGCACGGAACAAATTAATTGATTAGACTCATGTTGAATGCTCCCTCAAATTATTTCTGTTGCTCAAGATTACAACTTGGCCGGGAAATGGTGTAGTTACTACCTTCGTTCCAGTGCCAAATGACAACTATACCGTCCTCCCGATAACGAGGACACCTGTGGCGTACTATTACCAAGCTGTAAAAACCGTGCCCATCCTCACTATGACCTTCGCGTGTATTCGCTTGAGAAGCGAGCGCTTCTCTCAAACTCATTGTCTTTTCTCGGGGTCGAGAGAAATTATGTGGTGACCGTGTTAGTCTCGGTACAGTGAGGAACAACCGTTGGCCGAATAAGTCACTCGAGGCGCATCGACCCGAATTCGGTAAGTCACTTGTTCGCGCGGGGCACAGTCCACAAACAGTCGAATCGTTGTACTAAGAGTGTTGTAGTAGCAAGCGACGACGTTACCACATTCCTACTCACTCTTCTTTCTTTGTTACTATTGTCATTGTTCCCTATTAATTTGACGATTTCAATAAAAACAACTTGATCCACTGTAGCACAGGTCAAAGTTGTCGGATTGAATTAAGTTGTAGTATTATACATTATACTGTTGACTTTCGGGCTGATATCGCAGATTGTCAAGATTCGGGAACGTCACACTTACCGATGTGTGCTCAGCAGCATCCTCGATAGTTCAGTCGCCATAAGTGATACAGCCACTTAGATGAGCGGACTGAGTAAACGTTCGGGGATGATGGGAACTGGTGACATGTCAATCAAATCCTACATCTGAGAAATGTGATACTCATATCTGGCGTTGTTGCGCTCTCCTTCAGTTTACCAAAAGGTGTTTGTACCAAAGACCTGGTTTTCAATCATTGTCGATTGCAGGTCCCCTACCGTAGCGTTTATAGGTGATCACAGTGGTAGATTTTGAGACTTCTATGCATTCATCTGACTGGCTGCTTTAATATATCTCCCTAGTAAACACGTATGGCTCGTTTTCATTACTCATCCAACTTGGGTTCTCATCCATTTATTCAACTGCATACATGTTCATTAGCTCAGGATATAGGTTTAGCTATGACCAATTGGCCTTTTACTGCCCGACAGATTAGTAACTAAGTAAAAACTACCGTCATTCTCGATTTGTACTAGACACGCCTGAGCAGCTATCATCAGTCTATTGCAGAATTTTCTATGATCGGTTGTGGTTCCCACACACTTTTTTGACCCCCCTTTAGGCCTAACTGTTCCCCAGTTTTCATGTATCCTACGAGCAGTCCAAATAACCGATACATTCGTCCGCATCTTTAATGTTTTATGACTGATGCGCTGTTTATTCTCCCCTCCGATACCTTGGTGGCCTCTGCATTTAGCGCACCTTTTCTGTTCTGCGTTGTTGAGGCATTCAGTTTAAGCGTCCCCTCTCCCCAGATAATGATTTCTTTTGCTCCCCTGACTTCCTATCTGCTCTTTCTGTCCCTCTCACTCTCCCAGGACATCCCTATGCGCTTGCTTTTCTCCGCAGTCGATTCTGGCCTTTTTACCCAGCTTCTTGCCCGCATGGGCGCAGTGGAGACAAACGACTACATGATGGCCTCGCACCTGATCACATCGAACGAGTGGAAGCGAACGCTAAAGATGCTCCACGCCAGAGCACGAGGCATCCCAATAGTCTCGGTGGATTGGCTTGTAGCTTGCAAGCGTGTCCGCAGAGCACCGTATCCAGGTGAGTCATTTCATTTTAGTTTCCCGACACTTGCGGCACCCGAAATGCGCTACGATCTAATTCCTTAATCCACTTGCTTCCCAAGGAACTTCCCACGTTGTACAGCACATCATCCACGCTCCGCTCTAGCGTCTCAACTCGTATGTGTTCGGCACCCTCCTTTACTATCTTTCTCCGAGACGAGAAGTTCAAGAGCGGATGTATAGCCTTGCGGTGCGGTCGGGCTTACTGTATGGGTCCGTATCTTAACAGCTGCGCACCGAATATGTTAAGAAATGGGTTATGCTTTATGGCTGGTGCTAGTGGATTGTTGTAGAAACCCTGAATGAGCAATACTGATACCTTCCAGTTGGCGTTTGCAAAAAAACTCTTTACTGCCTCTCTGGATTGTCTGTTCCCTTATTTATCCCTGTCCGTGGCGTGTGTGTTAGAGCTGAATATTCACAATTCATGGGTGCATGAAGCACATTCTTGACTTGAATAGACTTGGACCGCTCACGTTTAGCAAGTCATATGTGTACCCGGTAGCATTCTTCTATGTGCCTTAAATCCACATCTGGATGGGCGAAACCAAATGGGTGCTCAATGTGTTCGGCAAGGTAAACAATAGTGTCCCTAACCGGAATATTGGTAAACAACGACGTCACAGCGAGCAAAAATTGCTATTTTATCCACATTTTTTCTGCTCCTGTCGACAAACTCGAAGTGTCAGGCAATCAGTGAGTCTTTAGCTTCTTTCTTGTTTGTTTTAGTAGTTCGGCCAACCATTTTGCCAACGTATGATACATGTAGTTACTAATGTCTAGTATGGGTCGTAAATGGGTCCCTTATTTAGCTATCTTGGGTGATCCATGCAATTTGGGAAAGATGGTGCCGACGGGACGAATTCTTTCAACTGTCAACGAATCGATTAGCCATTTTGTTTCATTTATCTGAAGCCTCTGCCATCCGACGAATGAAATCTAACCTTTGCAAACAGGTCGACCTTGTGGCCAGTCTTGCCTTGCCCTGGTAGGACGTAGGCGATGACCTTGATTTCCTCAGTGTTTTATTGATTTCCTTATTGACTCCCTTTTCAATTGCATTCCTTTACTCTTTCCACGATTTGTCTGTAAGCGGCTGAATGAGAAGACACGAAATAATCTGAATTCAGGTTATCCCGTAAAAATGTTGTTCGTTCTTGCTCTCTTAAGAAATGTATCCATTGGAGCTTCGTGATCTTTTCCATGAAGAGTTTCGCCATTAGTTAGTGTGGCAATATTCGCTCAACCGGATGTGATGGGACATCACTTTGAAACATTGTGGTCTGCATTGCTCAAATTCGCATGTGTTGTATGAGAAACTATGGCACTTGGTTTATGCAAACAGCATCCAGCTGCGCGTCTTTTCTGATCGGGAAATCCACTGAACTTACCATATCAGATGTCTTCATGAACGCCGCGTCCCTTTTATTGAAACTATTGCGATGGACTCTATTAATTAAAATAATAGCATCTAAGACCCTTTGTCCTCAGAAAGCCTTAACTCCGACACGGATGTATCAGAATTCACTTAGACGTTTCAGGCTATGACCAATTGAAATCCACTCAGGAACTTGAGCTTGCATTCGTTCAAATAATGCCTTATCGGGATTGTTACGTATGGGAACACCATGGTCGCGTTGCATTGCACCAACGTCGGTTAACCTACTGAGGTGCAATCAATTCACCGCCTCACATATCCTAGGTGACAAGCGGTTTGCGAAACAACTTCGGATTGGACGGCCAGTTTCACTCGCTATAGCCGGACGAGGCACCATATTCGCTTTCGTTCATCGCTAGATCCCGGCTGAAACGCGCAGCATGTGACCCGGGACAACGGATTGCTGGCACTGTGGCCATAGCAGAAATGTAAATGCATAATTGTGAGAAATACAAGAGATACTCACTTGGGCTCACCTGCAGTGGCCGATTCGCACGAGTAATCGCGGGCCATGAGAATTGTCATAGTCATGTCCCGACTACAACACGGTATGCAACGCATACTTGCTACAACTAACCGTTATCTCGCTCCATACAGGTGATTAGTTCTTTCAGTCAACCACAGGTACAGCCGATGCACGACCTGACATACCCGAGGTGTCTACTTTAGATGCTCTGTGCGCCACCAACCCAACTGAGAAGTCGTAATGCACTCGCGGAGCAATCAGTCGTTAGTTGTCACCACTTTGCATATGACAAATGCAATAACTTGGTTTTGGCCCTCCTCATACTTCGCTTGACATTGGACAGAGGACCAAGTCATCAGTGATGTTTTCCCAACGATATTAACAGACTATAGGTGCAATCCCGTTAAAAACTGACTTTGTGGAAGGAAACCAGATCGGAAATCGGAAAATGCCTCATTGGTGTTGTAGTGGTACTGCTTTGTTCCTCGGTATTGTCCCCAGCCTCTCCATATGCCAATACCATACTGCAGATAATACGCGTCACACTTGATGCACTCGCAATATTCACTTTTCCCCCGCCAGATGATTTATTTACTCACTTTACCATTAAACGAAGCGCTCCATCTTTGGGCCTACAACTTGTTCCTATTAAGGCGAGCGATACGGAATTGACAAATCAATACCTTTTGAGTGGTGCCTATCAGCCACTGGCGCTTTCTTGCCTGGTCAGTTAGAAGTTGTACTCCCCACACCAGTTGTCTATGTTCTAATTGAGCATTTTAGGTACAGAGGCTCGAACTCCATGAACAACACCTGGAAACCAAGCGGGTACTCTTGCAACGCCTCATCTTGCCATGGCCATCACATTCGGCTATTCTCGTGTTCACTGGTCTCCTACCTCGCGCGCTTCTATTGAACACGTCTACTATGGTAGCCCGCTCTGTTCTCCCACCGGAATTTATTTCTAGCGAACCGCAGTAGCATCTATCACAACAGTCACAGTTGCCGTTATTACCGGAAAGACTATTGTTAAGACTGCCTTGAGTAATTCTGAAGACGATTTTGTGACATTCCGACGACTTTTGTATCTTTATTTTCAGTACAAACATAAGAGTCAGGGGGGCATGCGCTTCACTGCGTCTGACAAGCCTCTACTGCTTTTCATTGCTTCGGATAAATTCCACCTACTAAATCTATACCAACTAGAAACGACTGGTGGTTTTTTAACCAATGTGCTTCGTGATTGTGCGCACCTGATGTGATGCATCGAAAAGAATCTTTTTCGCTGCTGAGCACTTACTATCTCTTAAAGCTAACTGAGGAACAAGGTTCTGGACAGTCATTTCACTTATTAGTTCCATGAGTATTGCCAACTTAGCTACCGGGACAGTGTCTTACAGTGTTACCAAAGCACCGCTGAGACTATTTCCCCACAATAAAAACCGACATTGTGTAATTTATGGCCTCCTTGTTCGTACACTCAGATTACCAGTCTCGCTTTGACCATTCGGATTGACCGTAACCTGTTTTCGATCCCTTCCATAGAGACACGCGTACTTCTATTTCGCATGCATCACACACTTCCCACGCCTCCACATATTCACATCGTATATTGCCTCCGACGCTTGCCGCATTGGTCTCACTAGCTGCGTTTTGTGATCACCGACTGCGTTTGTGCGTTATGATTTCCGTTCCACAATTCAGTCCACCTGTGTGTGTGTGTGTGTGTGTGTAGTAACAGTGCCTTAACGTACCTTTGCATTCGTGTTGCTAATGAGCTGCCTCCGACGAATCCACTTACTCACTCGACCATTTTACTTTGATGTGTTTGGTAGTTGTAATTGGTCTGTGAATTCCCAATACCAGTAGTACTTCGTTCAACCCAAATTATTGTATTCTCCTTCCCCGTAACCTGTCGCATAAACCTGAAGATTCCTTTCAGAACTGCCTCGCATGTCGATAATCAGAGCAGTCACCTATTACGGCGATCCCACTGCGCAATTTGATCGAGAAATCCGTCTGCCTTTCTTGAAGGTATTTAAATACCATAACTGCTTATTTAGCATCATTACCGTAATTACCTTTCTACCTCTCATATTCTATATTCTCCTTTACTCGATTGTTGGCCCCGGCTGGGTCGATCTCCTGCGATGCCGGACTGATGTGTTCAAGCTAATGAATGAACCCATGCGAGGCAAGATGCCATAGACTCCCTGACGAGTAATAAAATTGCTTGACTCAAAACACGGATAGGGGCATGTATACACTTAAAACGAGCCCTAAAGATGAGTACAATTAGTGATAGCAAACCTGCTTTAAAACCACATCAGCACACCGTCAGAATAGACAAGGAAGTGCGGGTGAAAAACTTTTGAGGGATTAGCATGCATATAACCAGATCCCCTGAAAACGAACCCACGGTTGGCCATATTACTTTACTAGAACCTTTAGATTTGTCTACATTTGTTATTATTGTCTGTCATTTCATCTATTAGAAAAGTGCGACCGAGCAATCAGCCCCACAAATTAGTTTGTGAACTGTTCTGGGGAGGGAGGGGGTAGAGGGGAAGTCGATTGCCCCCTCCTACCAAAACTTAGCGATGAAGACTACAGTTCACTGCTCACAAACTCGATTCGGCTACAGCACGAGCGCCACTGGTTGTCTCTATCGGGGGGATTGCGCAACACCTGCTCATCTTGTCTAAGGCTAGATTGCTATGGATCAATGTGATACCTGAGTTTTCCAGAACCCACTTGCAGTCGACCGTACTGGGTATGTATAACCCAGTACGATCCAACAACGGACATGCTCTGTGTTGTTAGTCCTCCAAGGTCGCTTGTAATCAGCCTCAAACAGATCCCAATGGGGCATTGCACCTAGGCCCCATATCAGACTCGGTTCCCTCTGCCTCATGCGTCATACTATTCACCCAAACGTCTGGATAAGCTTCGCGAGGGAAACCTCCATCCGTTCTGTTGCGGTTGCTTTACTCATCAGTACAACACATGTGACTTTCTAAGTTGTCTGTGGAGATGACGAGGTATTGTCCTATCATCAAAGACAAGCTGTGCAGCTCTTCGGAAATACCAGTGTTATTGAATTTACACCCCGAGGCGAACTATCTTTGATCACATCTGGTGGGATCAACGGGCAAGCAACACTGAAGTCCGCAGGCGGTTGTTTGGAAACAGACCATTTTGTCCCTCGGTGACTGTTTATGTCTTACCTTTCACGCACGTCAGGTCATGCGCTCCGGATGCTCCTTAACCTCCCAGCTCGATATGCGTTTTGTCGTCACTGCGCTATCGGTCTATAAACTAACAGAAATTAATAACAAATGGACTGACCGAGATTTGGTTGATCATCTTCCCGGCAGTGACCTTGAAAACCGCCACATCGGCGTATGGGGACCCTAACCGACTTGACGTACTCGTGATGCCAAGGGCTCTCCTGCATTCGATCCACTGCGCCTAGCGCTTAGCCTTCCAGCCTGTTTCATTTGCTCATCTTTTCCTTAGAGCTCCCTTCTCTCTGTATTCCACTTTGTGTTCCCCATCCCCCATCTCCCACACCAGTATTGTTTATTGTTTCCTTTACTATACGATTTATGGAAGCTGGATACACCGTACCGCAGTATCGTACTCATAATCAGCTTAAGTAAGCTAAACTGAAAATTCCGCCATCAAATCGAAGTTCACTGACTGATGCTCCTCTCTTTTAGATTAAGCAACCTAAGTTTATTATCTGCTCCTTTGAATCCGTCTTCTAGGTTATCTACTCTACCCTGATCTCCTTGTCAGGTTAATTCGCATGATACTGCTTTTGATTCCGTCAGCCTTATGGACGAAAACAGAATTGCTCTACTCATTCAATGACGGCCCGTAGCGTAAAAGTAACGAGCTTGTCTTGTAATCTGGCGACACGGGTTCGAGCCTACGTAGGGACAGAGCGACCCTCGCAGTATCCCGCGTGCAACCGGTGGTGGTTACACGGCATCGAAGCGTCGGTACTGCGTACCGGCGTACTGTTGATGCCTTTGCCTCATTGAGAGTCGCGTTTGACATCGAGTCTCCCGACATCCGCTTAGAAGTAAGAACCATCAATCCAATCATTCACATCGTCTAGTACACTGTGCTGTTCACTTTGAGAAGCCATTCTACCGATCTCTTGTATCAGCACTGTTATTCTGATCACCTGTACACACTTGGCACGTTTGCACAACAATTCTCGCCATAGAGCAGTTGCGACCGAAATTGATGCTCTTGCCACGAAACATTACCTGGCGCTAACCATTCTCTTCTATCGCTTTCCAAAGGCCGTTACCATACACTGTTAATTACTCTGGCTACTCTTTTTCGATATTGTGGGGATCACTGTGGAGGTTCTTCCTGATCGGTTATTTCCGTCGTCCTTCTCGTTAAAAAGGTGCAAGGGCCATTTAAGTATAAACCCCATCAACATTACCTTCAATTCACACTTGGGTAATATCATTCGTTGGTTCATGAGGCTGACCTACCACCGAGAGTCAGTCTAGCTTCCACCCCGGTAAATGATGAATCGGCCTCGTTTTTACACGCTACGTAAGTAGCAACACTGTTTCAAATTATCTATCCCTCTATATTTCCTCACTTTGTAAACCTTCACTCCGCTGCACCCGTTTATATCGCCGCATACGACTGTGGTTGTTTGGAGAAATTGCCTGCGCAAATTCTAGGGTTATCTAGGTGTCGACGGAAAGCTCTTTCCTTGACTTACCACGAATACCTTGTTTCCCATTTTCTCTACGATTTTCCAGCCAATCTGGTCACGTAGAACCCTAACGCTGTTGCCTCTTCCAGAATGGAACTACTGCTAGCGGACAGCTTGATAACACCTGAGTGCACAATCACAATGACTTTCTACTAGCCGGATTTGTCTTTCCGACTAAGGCTTCCCAGTACATCAATGTAGACCTCCGTATGACTGACTTGATATGCCACTAACCTACAACAAACGCGTCAGGTTGGAGGTCAGATTTTGTCACAGGGGCCGCACACAACTAATTGGTCATTTTATCTATACAGTTATCCAACATTATTTTGCCACTTTGGCCCAGCGACATATACTACTCATGCAAATGGTCTGGTGGTAAACTTCTGAAGTAGGTTAACGAAAGAAAGGACGATATTTCAAACAGCGGATTGGATTTGCAGCAGCATCAAGTGCATCAGATAAAAATAACTGCAAATCAACATTAACATTTGGTTGAAATTTTTAAGTGTTTTGTCCCAAGTCAAGACACCGCTTCGGAGTTATACATGTTGCTATGCGGTTCCGACCTTGATCAGAGATGACGAATTCTTATCACTCTTATTCTCTGAGTTTTTATTACTTTTATGAAAGAAAATAACGGTTCACAAACAGGCTCGAACATTGCCATAGTCCCAATGGCACACACTTTACGAGAGAACGTAGGTGGTTTGTGTGCGCGCTCAGCTAGCCCCATGGAGCAGTGGTTGCGTCAAAGACAATCAGCAAAATCCCATGGGGAACAGGCATGCTCAGAAAATGTTTACTGTATCCGATGTGGAGCCTTGCATGTTGACGTCATATTTTAAAACCCTGACTCGCTTATCTCGCCGCTGCAATCGTGTTTCTTTTGTGCTTTTGAAATCGATCAAAAGGCACTGGGCATAAAACCATAAAAGAAAAGTATTCCGTTTCTCTGTGAACAACTCACTTTTACCTAGGCTAAACTGTAAAAATTTCAATTTAAGCCTTTACTGACTAAATTACAGTATGCTTTTTGCCGGCTGCAGTTGTGCTTGCAAAGGGCCGCATGTGACCCGCGGGCTGCCAGTTTAACTTGCCTGGACTACAATATCACCAAGAAGATAAGGAAATTGGCCGATCGGTTTAGTCGTTCTTTTGGTCACTCGGGAGAGTTAACATCGTACCATTGCCACAACTTTTGCTTGTTGCCACTGAAAGCCCAATGGCCAATTTTCTTAACTGTTGTTTTTATTACCGATTAAGGCCAGTGTCCATGTTGACTAGGTGGTAATTTTGGTTACTGTCACCACTGAAACAGGGCAGCCATCCCAGCCAACAGCCACTTAAATAAGATAAATAAATAATTGGTATATTCCTCGGCGATACGAGGCACAGTCCAACTATGCGGTCGAATCTTACACGCTTGCTTCCCACATGTGCGCGCTTGTGTGGCGCGGCACTCACAGTGGAAGACGTGACCACCTGTCTCATCTCTGCGACCCTCCTATTGAAACCGATCGGGATAGTCACCATCACATGGGCACCTTCTCTCTTTTTCCCCTACTTTTAATATACTTTGTGGTTCCCCTATTTCCTCTCAACAGCGCTGCGGAGGGCGATTAACCGCCTACTTGTTTTATTAGTTCGTCTATCTGTTCGAGTATATCTACCTTCTCTGCTCTCTGTACTTAAATGGAGGTCACTCTTTTGATCCTCTCTCTATAAGCCGCCTAACTTACCCATGCGGCAAGATATAACATAAAGAAATATGGATTACATCTGGCCATTTAGGTATTGCTTCAAGTATACTTCATTGCCTTACCATATTGTAACAGGCTGGTAATGCATCAAGACCCTTCAGATGCATTCGCAACTCCCGCCAGTAGTTTCCCACTTCCTTAACTGAAATCTCATCGTCGGCGTTCCGATGGGTGTCCCTTTCAACACTGAAACACTGCCTACAAACAGCCGACATGATTTATGATTGCCCTGATTTGTTTCACATTTGCTTGGACAAAACGTCCCGAAGCATCTTGGCCATGTGTGAATCCACATCTCGCTTTGTCCGGATTCGGTCATGGTTTTTTGTGCACATTCTCTTATTGGATTCAGTAACTAGTCTTTTCTTCACCTCGCCGGCTTTCCTATCGTCGCTACGCCTCGGTACAAAGATACTTGGTTCTGCCCCCCAGGGTAGCTAACCTACTTTACTGCGACCGTATGATCATTTCGTGATGGTGCACCCTGTGAGTATTACCACCTAAACGTCAATTTCTGTCATTCTTTCCTCTATCCACTCCTTCAGCTTCATTCTGCTCTTTTTAACTCCTTTTTGCTTTTTTTAGATCCTACCCAATTTCTCTTAACCTCACCCCCCTTTGGCGCTTTCCGTCGCAGTTCCACCAAGTCGAATCAGCGGTCTTCCCACATCAGCTCGGATGAAGAAGGTTTCTTGCAAGGTTGGTCTTTTCGGAGCACCCCTACCGTGTTGCCGACCCCTACCGACCTCGCTCGCTTGACCGATCTAGCCGGTGGACATTGGATGACGGATCGCGAGCTGTCTGACGCTGTCTCCAACTTGGTATGTCATCCGTCATTAATGTACGATATCGCGGCCTCGAAGAACGTTCATGTTGTGTTCTCATCTCATTCTCCTTCTCACGTTCCCATCTGCCACGATGGACACGAATTGCTACCCCCTTCTGTAGCTGCAGCTGCCTTCCACTTGCCCCTAGATACTTCCCACTATAATCTGAATTATTACCTGCGCAGTTTAGGTACTCCGACCTTGAACTTCACACCTTCAGAATGCACGATACCGCTAGAGACCAACACCGACGCACCGCTGGCCCTAGCGGTCGCTCGATGGCCCATCGCAATGTCCACTCAGTTCGATCATGTTAGTTGCTGTGTTGTCATCAATGGTGGCCGGTTCACAGAGACGTTAGCTTACCTCATTTGGTGTGACCGGAGTGACTTTTCCTAACTTCTAATATCTGAGCAAGTAGGGATCTGTTGGCTTAGCAGTCAGAGTTAGAGTGCGCAATTCCGCGCTCACCATTGTCTATGCGCATGGATCGGAGACAACTTTTGTATCCCTAAGAGTATCCAGTTTGCCTTCAGCCACCTATCACTGCGCTTAATTGTCCATATGGGGTGAGAACACCTAATGAAATCCAAAAATCTTTATTTGTTTGAGGACTGTGAAGCTTATCTGGACTGTGTTGCACTCGAACCACACGTCGGTTAGCTCATGCTCACACGCATGCTCGCGAATTGCTCCGATATGCTCATCTTGCTGGTATTGCGTCTTCCATTGTGCGATCGAAATTTTATTGGAGCGCACCTCACCGGTCGGTTGTTCTCGACTCTTTGAAATCACGGGTTCTCAATCGGTTTCAAGCATTTTTCAACATGTGGCATGCTTCACCTCCATTTCACACTTCCCCCACCCCATCTCTCAGAAGCATTCTCTTTTGATGGAGTTAATTCAACTCACATCACATCGTCCCAACTAGCCTCAGCTGAATCGTTTGCCCTGGTTGTTGCTCTTCGACGCCTTCTATTTGACTCACGCGCTTTTGTCTGAATGTGTTCTCAATAGCCTGCTGCGTTCCACTGTACGGCAAAAGACGTTTAGTGTCCGATGTAAGCAGGAAAGAGTAGCAGTCTGGTCACTCGATTGGGAGAATCAGCATTGCGACCATGTATCGGACACCAGTTTTCCGCAAGTCCAAATCGCACCATTAATGTCCGACCTTATTCACAATTTTTCTTCATAGTCGTTTTTTTGTATCGATAACAGGTTATGCTGTGGTCCGGGTGACATAACGAAGCAGACAACAGTAGACTAACCATCTTGGCGCCACTTTGAGTCTGGGGTTTAAGATTGGGTGCAGCCATGCATATGATGGCCAGTCTGTTCAACCGACGCACGCATGCAGTGCATTCAATGCATGGGTGTCACTACAAGGGTGCAGCAGTCCTCAGCTCGCTGCAGTTGTCCGATATCTGATGTGGTGCTGACCTATCCCCACCTTTTTACTTGGGACAGGTAACGTAATGTACGCACTATTTCTCCGTGTTGCTTGTACCCTTGACGCGTCTGGCACGACATGACTGTTGTGACGAAAGGGGGCGCGTTCCTTTTGGATGACGATTCCAGAACACACCATAGTGTGTGGAGATTGCAACTGCGCCGACGGCACCAGAGTACGCCTAACCTCTGTACCGATGCTTGTTTGCCGCGCAGCCGCCAGCAGTCGTATGGAGTTTACGTTACTATGTTACCCGTACCGTGGCGAGAGACCTCGCCCATGCTTCTGCATCTGTGTGACCAATGCCACCGGGAACCACTCAGAAAGCATACCTATTGCAGAGTATTGGATGTGAGAACAGGAGTATTTTAGACTCTGCTCAACAATAATATGCCTGAATGAGAATGACTATCCGCGCCCGACATAGACTAAGTGCGCATAAATTTGTGAAACGGTTCGCCTAACAGCTTCGTATCAACCTTGTTGAGCGTTGATCGGGTTTTTCCAAACCACTGAGTACACGGAAATCTTTGCTATGCGGTTCCGAAACAACAACTCTCGTACGGAATAGATTGAAGAACCGTCTCTCTTGTTGGACTGTAATTGGCTCTGTATTGATTGATCATCCAGTTAACCGAACTCATAGCCAATGGCTATGTGAAATTCAGGTACACAACGGTGTTTTCTGATGCTAACCTAACACTAATTGCCGATGTCATCCTTTCACCGACATACGTAAGGCGGTCCGAATTTGTTCCAACAGCCAAGTTTTCTTCATCAACTATTGCCAACATACCGAGATCCGTGCGATTCAAAAATTTTGATCTGAGCACTGGCATGTGATGATTCCAGTTCCTCTGACCCAAGTAGAGAGGATAGTAACAATTAGCGGCGCTGACGAAAGAATAATACCACCAAGACGTACATTTGGAATGAATGTGAAACGTCTTGCTTCTCAGACGGATGAGAGGATTGCGAGGAAAATAATCGTCTGTTGGATTCCTGACGGCGTCGTTTCGGTAGTATCTATCCTCACTCGCATAGCTGATCTTAAGACTCCCCCTTATTCCCGCGCACCAACTCGGCTCCATCCCTCGATCAGATTCCACACAACTTTTCCAAGACACCTATTTACCACTCCGACCCGTGTTCTTAACAGGTATGAACGACCTTAAGCAATCACCATCGGCCAACGCGCAGGGACCATGTATGTGATTCATGCGGTATCACTAACCGTATTACATTTGTGTACATCTCGCCGCGGGTTGGTGATTATCGTCTTCACATGGACAATCACTGCTTTGAAGATACACACTTACAGGTATCTTCGTTGATTTGGCCTATCAGGTGATACAGTTCTCCAGAGAGATGAGCCAAATTGTGTTGCATCTGTTTACCCCGCGGTGCTCAGCCTTGACAATAACAATTAATTAGAACAAAACGACCATATTTATTATACTTCGAAATCTTCTGGGTAAATGATTAGGACTTTGCAACGAGAAACGGCCCAATAACACCTATTTTGTCCCTCTTTTCAACTCCCGTTGCACTGATACTTCTTTGCTCCCCAACCTGTGATGATCGGTGTCACAAATCGCTTGCCGATGTGTCGGAATTACCGGTGCCCCTTGTCTCAGCGGCCGGGCATGCTTTCACCTGTTACTGAGGTTCACTCTCGAATTGTGTGAATGGGACGCTGTGCAGGTTCATCCTCCGAACCGTCCTTTTAATTCAACTGCACTTTCAAGCTTGTCGGATGCAGCTCAGGCAGTATTTATCACTATTCGGACTCTTGGGCACAGGGCACCATCAACATCCGTGTACATCGATACTTGGTGCCACGTCTTTGACTAACACATGAAAAGTGCCATCATAATTGAATAAATTACACTTGCCTTATAATTTTATCTACTCCGTATGTGGCCAACTTCACCAGAACAATGATTTCTCCTACGTGACCTGTTAAAATCTATTTGACTTACAAGGCTTATGCAAAGATTCTCTCAACTACATTGATTGGTTGCTCGATCACAACGTGAACTGAACATGCCGGTTAACGCGTTCAGTGAATTGGCAGTTAGTTCACGATATCCCTTGGGTGCTCATTTTTTTCTTTCCTAGTGATGCTATTTGATCACTGGGCTAGCTCTTTTTAATCACTTACATGAGCGCACTTTTCACTTCGCTGTAACCCACCGAATGGTCACGCACAAAGTGGATTACTTGTTCTGTTGACGCACCCGATCGTTCGGGTCAACGTGTTATTGGCTGAAACCCAGTATCACATCCGTTTCCATGTTTAATCGCAAATTTTGATAGCTCCATTTACTGGAAATCATTTGTATTAATCTATCTTCACCTTTTTCTTCTTACCTCAAGACTCATCGCACAGTGGTCATTGTCGCTGATGACGAGTTCAAAAGTCTCCGTTCCGGGCAAGGAGCTCGCAACCTAAAACTGAGCCGCGTTTTGGCGACGGCTGTGAAGAGTTTACCCTGTGTCCCTGTCGATTGGTTTCTCAACACATTAATGCTTCGGAAGACACCATCCTGGCCTGTGAAACTGTAATCACCGTGAGTGATCTACTCCTATTTATATTCGATTTCGTTGGCTATGTAACATGAGTGCTGCGTCATGGCGTCCATTTCCCGGCTGTTTACTGACTCTGTGGCTGCTCGATCCAGTCATCCGCAACTTCGTGGTTTACGGCTCCATGAGAGTCGTCTCTCGTTTCCTCAATTTTTGCCGTGAGCACACACACAATCGCCAAAATCTGCGCGTCGTTTTGACTGGAACATGAAAATTCCGCCATCGGCAAACCCTGGCACCAATTGGCGCTGCTGACGCTGGGCAAGGCCCCTGACTTGGATGACCTGTCATCATCGTTGCTCATGCATAGTGGTGACTTATCAGGGGCCGCTTTGGTCGCTTAATTTAACACCCGCTCGACGGTTGTCAGTCCTTGTCCTCATCTTTTTGATAGTCAAAATGGTGTCATGTGCACATCCTCCTGATCTCAGTCTCAGCCAAATTGCTTCCAACCTACGGACATGCATCATGTCACCCGACTCGTGAGAGATGATCCGGTGTAAATCAGGCTGGCTTCTATCCAGCAGTGCGACAGCACCACGAATTATTGCTGATGTATCTGGACTACTGGTCGTGCGTTCGGATTGCGACACGCACTCACAATCTGGACGGCGACTAACATTAAATTGACTCACAAACAATTTGATATCTGGACCATATCCGAGGCAGGTAAACGCTTTTGAAACCACTGCATTCCACGACGATCTCGTATTTTACGCTCCACCATAGAAACATGAAACTGGGATCCGAACTCGCAGCGTTAGAGTAACGGCTGACTCTTTCATTCCTGAATTACGAGACTCCACCGGAAACGTGTCTACGGTTAAGGATTCATTTTATTGGTTTGTCTGCTTTATTGGTTAAATTGACTGAAATACATTGCAAATTAATTTGCGATCCAAAATAAATTGCATATCTGCACTGGGTATTCCGAAACAACTCGTCATTGAGCCCTTAACTTTTGTGACAAGGGTTGTCTGTGGCTCGGTACTGTAGCAGCAAAAGCTTTTACCACTAATTTTCACGCTTCCGGTTCGTGCTCCACTCCCGCTCTACGAGCACCACACCAATCGTGTTATGCAGTGTTGAGAGCGGGACTCGCCAGCTATTTGAGCACGGCCTAACCGTACCGACGAATATTTTCCCCAACGCCAATCTGCATAACTCGTCGCAAAGCAAATGTAACTTGCTTGATGGGCGTAGGCGCCAAGGACATTTTTCCACTGCTTTCCTCGTGGACATGTGGCCAAAACATTCTCTCACTAGCGCTGTCTTGCTGATGTTTTGATTCTGCTCCACCCCCGGACGCTCATGGGCTGAGGTGTCACATGGAAACGGAGGCTGGTTTTTGTTTAGACTCTCACTAGGTTCACGTGACACGGGGTGCAAGTGCCACATGTCTTACCGGAGCTAGATGACAGATTACACCGAAAATCGAAGGGAAAACGCAGTTCGGAGTCATTTCTTCACCAATGGGAGAGCGTCAAACAAAAGTGTGTTATCGACGGTCATGGAAGTGTCACGGGATGCACATGCCGTTTCCTGGCATTACTCCGGTTTACTGGTACTTCAATGAGTGTGTATCGCGTTTTCGCCGCTCACGATTTATCGATGCCCACTCCCAGGACCAGGGGTGAAAGCACCGTCTCGCATTTTTGTGCTTTCATGCTGTTCAATGCGTTCCACCAACCCACCGTTTCCGCTTCTCACCCAGTTGCTATCCCCGTACAATTCATGTCACATTTATTTGTCTCGTGGGATGTGCTGGGTGTCCACTGGCGTCTCTGTGCTAGATTTTTCATACTAGTTTGTGGCCCCTGATGCGGACGCATGGGATTGAAAGGTGCCTCACATTTTCGACTGATAACCAGTTGTCAATGGCTGTGCGTTGTTGGCAATGCGTAGGCGCTTTCACTTCGAGGATTAATTGGGGCACCATTGTGTTTTATTCCTGGCCCTCTTCCCATCGTTTCATTCCTCGTTGGTAATGTCATTATGGGCGCATAGCATCTGTGTATAAGCGCTAAGCAGTGTGGTACGCTGCTAGTGATGATGAGTCCGTGACAACTTGGGTACCATTTACTGCTCATGAGGGAGCATGTGTTCTGTGTTTTGTTACTGTCCGCTAGAGTACCTGCATGTCACACCACATCATTTGAATTGGTGCATGCTAGCAACCCGATGTTCATCTCACTGATCGTCTTTCCTGTGTTTCCCATTTTCTTTTCAAGCCGAGATCCATTGTTTGTGGACGCAATTCCTCCGACGTCGCTGCTCACATTCCTCGCCACCTGTCTCCTCTCCGATTCACCATGTGCCTGTGCTTGTGTTTCATGGACTTCCCTCGCATTTGGTGCACCTTTTATTCCGAGTTACCATCGCTCATCACGTTTTTCACACACTGCACTTGAATCTCAGGAACAGTCTTTTATTACAATGACATGACCAATGCCACAGCTGTGTACATCTTATAAACAATGATCAATGTTGTATACATTAGAGTTCCTTTGTGACTCATGTTGGTCAAATCACATGGTGTTGGTATGTATGGAAATGGGTTGCGTAGTCTGTGGGTCAAATTTGGCAAGCCACACATAAGCCTGCGCACTCACAATAACACCGAGCGAATAAACTCATGAGGATAAACTGTACCATTGTTGTTGTATTGGCCACGACGACCTATGTCCCTGCATTATCACTCAAGGCAATTCACTGGGTTACCTTCCACAGTGGTATTCTCTTCTGAGGCCGGACTGTGTCAACCTTGGGTGTATTCTTGGCAGCGCTTCACGGTAGTGATCGAAGCTCAGATGACGTTCTATGATCGACTGAGTACTTCGTTCGTGGGATTCTGCAGTTGGAATTGAGTGCAAATACCTTTGTCACTGCTGCTCTTTTCTTGTGGTCTTAACCACCTGCTCGTAAGCCCCTAGTCTCTTGAGTTCCATACCCACAGGTGTTGGTTGAAATACGCGCTCTATTGAAAAGTTCCGAAAGGACGAAACGGCCTTCTAGTACTCTTCAGGATGCGATGTGACCATCTGACTGAGTGTAGCTTTGGCTAGTCTGTTTGGCCATTAATGAGGGAGAAAATGGAACACAGGCAATGAACGGGTAAACGACACAATGACGTGTAATCTCGGCTACGAACTACTGTGGAAATCCGCACCTGTTGTATCTTGCCGCCGCAGTAGGGATCAACTTGAATGACAGGTCTGTGTTTCCACACACACCACTTGTCCCACTCGCATGGTATATCAGGTGTGACTACGCTGCACACGAATATTGGCTACATGTCCGCTCTGTTTAGTTCTGTCATCTTCATTATCGACACTAAGGAAGTGTTGGCATGGAGTAGATTGCCACAATGAGTGATTCAAACATGTGGAGATCTACAGTCCAATATCTACTTTATTGGCCAATCGACGCTGCTCCTGCATGAGTCATTTATTCCCAAATTTCACTTGCACCCTATGTATGCTGTGTATACAGTCTCCAAATACTACCATCAATCAATGTGGCTGTCACTCCGATTCACCTATAGGGCATCAGCAGTACGCCGGTGCAGAGTACCGACGCTTCGCTGTCGCCCAACCACCACCGATCGCACGTGAGCTAAGCATACTGCGAGGGTCGACGTGTTCCTACGCAGGCTCGAACCCGCGCCGTCAGATTACGAGCCAAGCTCGTTACCTTTAGGCTACGGGCCGGCGATTCACCCATCCATAGTTGATGTATGCGTTGGTGGGTTGTGGACCGCCTCTAAGCAGTCGTGACTTCTATCTGTATGTTCATTCGGCTTCGCAGCGGAAATGGTCGGATTGTTGCAGAAATGCGGAGGATACAGTACAAGCAGCTTATCGTCTTTCTGTAGACCCACACCTCCCGTGGCTTTTCGCAACTATGTTGACTCTGGAAGCTGATCTCATCAACCACTAGTTTTTTCTGTCTTTCTTTACTCTGGTTATTTTAAACCACACGGTAGATTCAGACACTCACTGAGAAGAACGCATTTGATAAGAGGCGCTATCATGGCAAATTCTGGTTTCGGTATTGCTCTCTCCCATCCCTGCAAATTTTGGTTATTGTGTACCCTCGGACCTTGGCGCACTCACGAACGGCATGACAATAGTATAAATGTAACAATAAAGTGTAAATTTTTCCGAGGGGGAAACTTTTGACCTTAAAGATAAGCAGGAGCTGTCTAATCACTGGCACAGTAAGGCATCATGTTTACTCGGGCCTGATTCCTGATAGTACTTAACTGAACGCTAGCGGTTCTAGTATGTCCCACCGCCCGTAAGCAGGTCTTACGACAGCCGAATTCGGTGATGGTATTCTTAGTTTTTTAGGGCTCATTCTACAGCTGTGTCGCGCACGACACATTACATATATGCGGAAAGGGGAAAAATCGGCGGTTCAATGAAGGTGTCTGGGCTGAGTCGAAGGAACTCGTGAAGATGGAAGTTGTTCATTCTCGTAGACGACAGTCACTAACAGATCGCACGAGGGCAGAGTATGCATGTGATCGAGGACCAGTTGCTGTATCAGTTGGCCAAGCGAGTACAGTTGCCGATGCAGTGGTGAAGTTAGCTGACCTTGTGACATAGACCAGCAGTCGCTCAGTTTAGACATCTTGCTATGACTGGATGTAACACACTTATGAGCGTTTGGCGGTTGATCATGCGGGTAAATTGTATGGTATCCATCATATCTGTTTAACACTAACTCTGACAAAGCCGAGGATCGGTACGCTTTTCTATTCTCCTGTTCTTTCGTCACTGTTCAAATTCGTGTGTGACTGAGAAGCCCCGGGTGACTTCAGTAATTTGGAACTAGGATAAATAACTATTAATCCTTATGAGTAGAAGGATTTTGACAATTTTTTTGTGTTCGTCGCAATCAGCCGACAATTCTGATAGCTCAACTACCAACCCGGAAAAGCGCCAGACGACCGTTTCGCCCTATTGGGGCTCGTCACCAATACAAAATCGATTTATAGCTGCTGTAACCGGGAAGTCTTGACGCAGGAAGGCCAGCCGCTGTCATCTGCATGGCAGTGGATGAGGGATCGGGCTATATTGCAGTCAGCTAACAATTCATGATGGTCGGCTTCCGTCCCCCATGGCTCAGTGGCATAAGCTGCTGGCTAGGTGGCGCACTCTACTAGCAGTCATGGGTTCGACCCTCGGAAGTGGACCGAAGGAAACGCACCACTGAGGACCCCCAACATGGTGAAACAGCCATGTAGTGTTTTTCCGGATTGGTAGTTGAGTTATCTGACTTGTCGGCTGATTGCGACCAACTCAAAAGCTATTAATCCACATTTTCATGTTTGTAAATTGTTGTGATTACCCGGAGCCTCTCTACAGCACATCCCTTGAATTTACGATCATTCCATTGGCTGGGATGTTTGCTACGTCGCTCTTCCTCTGTCGCACAACTTTATTACTATCAGTTGTTGATGCGGCTCACGTATCCAGCGAACCCGGCATCGAAACACATTCATTCTTATTAGATGGATATGAACTCCCTGTAATGCTCGCACGCAATATAGAGATGTCCGGATGACGTTGAGTTGCTGCTGCTAATTCGTCTTCGTCCATGTTTAAAACAGCTGTGTGGGTCATTGAGTACTTCAGCTAGCTTTGCATGTGAATACAAAGAGGACGCGCCTCTTGTCACTTCCGATACAGAGGCGCGCAGGTTGATCTGGCCATATCCGCTGTATATTTAGACTGGCGTGCAACGTCCGTGCTAGTGTTGGAATTAAGCATGGGTGATATTGAGCAACATGACATTCTGTTCTCTGACCTTGACCGTGCAATTACCAACCACTTGTTGCGCTATTTAGGTTGTTACTGCTGGAGGCTGTGGTGTAAATGTAATTGCGCATGGCTGGGATTATAGTACCTTATACTTTGCGTTGAATGCTGTGCCACTGTCATCTACATGACCGTAACCTGCATGAGCATGGAGGCCAAGATGGACTAACTGATGGCCACCGCCGACACGTAGCCCTAAGGATCGCAAGCCTGCATTGTACTCCGAGGGCGCGGGTTCGAGCCTGCGTAGGAACCGGACGACCCTCGCAGTATCCTTAGCCCACCCACAACTGGTAGTGGTTGCGCGGCAGCGAAGCGTCGGTACTGCGTGCCGGCGTACTGCTGATGGCTTTTTTAAGTCACAGTTACTAACTTACTCATATATGCCGCAGAGGTCAGGTTCCGTTTACCTAAGCAAGTTGGGATGTTATGGATTTGATTTCCGATTCCTACTAGGTCGAAACAGTCGTCCAGTGCAGATCCAGATGATAGTGATGTCGAGTTCGTTTTACTTCGGTTCATCAACTGCGATTTGTGTACCGAACTACTTTTGTTCCAGTCGCTTGGAGTTACATCTCTAACATAATAATCATAATAATAACTCTAACGCGGTGTGTGGGAAATGAGATCGTCGACCGTGGACGTATACTCGAGCGACACTATTACTGCACTATGTCCAACGGGTTATCTAGTGACTGATATGGTTGATCCAGGAGGGTGACAATCACTCATCCTACTTGGCCTTTATGTTGGTTTCGTTATGCTTCTACCAATGTCATCGGTTGATCACTAGCGTTTCACTCACCTGGGTTGAGTATACGCACATCATTCATACCAGAAAAGTCCGTTTGCAGACTTGTCGCAGATATGCTCGAATAACCGGACTCGTTTGAGTTATACAGACGCTCTATGGGGGTACTAAGTACTGTGCAGCAGTTGAATTGCAATGTCTTTCATTCGCTTCCCCCATCCGATCTGAGCAGGAATGTTCAGAGGATACTGATTAAAAATGTTCCGCCTCCTAATGTTCTCAGCCAGTAAAGATCTATGCCATTTTACAGGCATGTTAGCGCATTGTACCAAGCTTTTAGCGTGACATATTTTCGAAATCGCGTGCAGTGCTTTCAAGATAGCAAGGCTAAGAACGCTGTTTTGGCGTCATTGACACTCTCATTGATCATAGGACGTTAGCCAATGGGACACCGGTTGGAAGCCCCGAACATAAGCGACAGACAGTCCAATGAAAGTGTTCGAGCACCACCTTCTGTTCCGTCTTGATGCCCAATCTGAAGGAAACCCCGATGATTGGTCTCCAAACTGAAATCGTCCAATAGACAACTTGTGATGCCTGTCTAGGGAGGAGATTCTAACTACCACATGATCCGAAGCTTACGCCGTAATCAGTGCGGACAGACCTACTAAACAGCACATGAAACGGTCTATACTTAGTGATCGCTAGCAGCTACCTGGTGGTGGCTTATTCAGCGGCCTAACCATGGTGGCGTAGACAGGCAATCTTCTAACTGGTATTCCGCAGTTCAGCAATAGCTGCTAGGCGGTTACACAATATTGTGCGATTGTTATTGCGACAATCATGGGGGACATTGTTCCCATTGAAGTTGGTAGACCAACCTGAAACTGAACAACGAAAGATCTATGTTTGCTTACTTCTATCACAGTTGATGG